CCGCTACGACTCGGCGCGGGCCAAGATCGCCGCCAACCTGCAGTGGATCTGCGCCAAGGCCTATGGCCGAGGTACACCGGCCGGGCCCGGGCGGGGGCGGGGGCTCGGTCTGCGTGTGGGTGAGGGTCTGGCGGCTGGGGGTTGGGTCCAGGGACCGGGGTCTGGGTATGAGTCCAGGGGCTGGGATCGGGGTCCGAGTCAGGATTCGGGTCCGGAGTCCGGGGTCCGGGTTTGGGTCCAGGGACCGGGATCGGGGTCCGAGTCAGGATTCGGGTGTGGAGGCCGGGGTCAGGGTTTGAGTCCAGGCACCAGGATCTGGGTTTGAGTCCAGCGGCCGGGGCCGGGGTCTGGGTTTGGGTTTGGGTCTGTGTTCGGGTCCAGGGGCTGGAGTCTGAGTCAGGGTTCGGGGCCGGGAGCCGGGGTCTGAGTCCGAGTCTTCGTCCGGGTCTACGTTCAGGGGTCGGTGTCTGGATCTAGGTCCGAAGTCCAGGGGCCGTGGTCTGGGTTCCGGATCCAGGGGCCGGGGTCTGGATCTGGGTCCGGGTCCTGGGGCCGCGCAGGGTCCGGGCCGCGGCCCATCCCGAGGTCCCGGCGGCGACCTGGCCAGCGCCGAGCTGGTTGTGCGGTCACCTCGGCAGTGGTCGTCCCGGCGCGGGTGGGGCGGCGCAGGTCCGACTGTGAGCTCGCATTCGAAGGATGCTCTGAGTCCGTTTTCAGTGGCAGGTGGGAGGGCGGCTGCCTGGTTGTGAAGAGCAGGAAGCGACCCCTGGGTACCGGGGCGGCCACAGTCTCTTGCCAGCGCTGGGCTGGCCGTAGCGCCGGACGCGTTGCGAGGCATCCGACGCCGCGCTGTTCGCTCATGGTGAATTTTGATACTTATAAAACAGGCGCTGTTGAATTTCTCAACTAGAAATTGCTTATTACCTGGATTGTGCTTAATCCCTTTTGGTGAATGATCCCCTTTGATTAATTCCTGTTTTGAAGAACTAGGTAACCTTGTTACTCAGTCCAGTTTGTTAGGCTCTAATGTGCTTAGTGGATTAAATAGTCCTATTTCATGCTCTGGCAACTTCACAGAGTAAGCGATTTTCATAATTGATTGATTTGTAAGGCTTTGTTAATTTCAGGTGCTTTGTTTCACACACACAATTAAGGGTTAATGCTTGTGTAATTCTTTTTGAATTTGAAGTTTAAATTTGAAAAATTCTAAAAAACCCCAAAAAACTGCCTTTATTCTGGTGGGAAAATTACCGTTTCCAGAGTAGGATTAAAGGGGAGAGAGAACCCTTTCACAAGAGTTTGGATGACCGGTTTTGAAAATTTGCTGAGCATGCGTTCCCTGTGTGTACGGGCCTGTGCCCCAGCTAGATTCGAGTTAGTCATAAGGACAAACACGTTTTGTAAGTTTTAGGGATTAAATACATCGCTTTATTTAAACTGGTTTTTGTAGTGTGTAAAATAATAGGAAATAGTTTTTTTCTTTCTTTCACAATTTTTAGTTTTACGATTCCTGTTTACTGGCTCGATTGAACTTTATTTGGTTTCTATATAGTAGTGATGGAAAAACACTGCCACACACCTGACTTCACATGGTTTTTTAAAAAATAGAATTGATGAAATGTATACATAAAATCTGAGATCTGGTATGAAGAACACCGGTGGACACTGGGTCTATCTAGCAGTCAGTCATCATTAGCCTCTGTGGTCCCGCACCTACCTCCACCTGTGTTGGTCTTTGTTTTCTTTGTGTTCCACCACATATCACCAAACCACTATATATTGTTTAGTTTTACGTATTTTTGCAGCTTTCATGGTGATGTCTTCTTCTGAGACTTGCTATATTGTTATGTTTTTAGGTCTTTGTGTTCCACCACATATCACCAAACCACTATATATTGTTTAGTTTTACATGTTTTTGCAGCTTTCATGGTGATGTCTTCTTCTGAGACTTGCTATATTGTTATGTTTTTAGGTTCTTCCTAGCTTCATCCTAATTTCCCTGTGTTCTTTTTCACTGCTGTGTAGTATTTCACTGAGGCTTGTCCACTGTTTAGCCATTCTGCTGTTCATGGGCTCTGGCTGGGTTCCACCTTTTTGCTCCTAAATACGGCACATTCTTGGGCATAGCTCCTGGGGCCCATGGACAAGGTTTTACTTCTATGTGCATTTTTAAGACTTTACACATGGAGATGGCCAAGGGCTCTGGTAATGAATATTATATAGACTCAAATACTTGTAAAAAGCACTTTCATTATTTGCTTTCCAATTTCTTTAGCAAGATGAATGCATTTTTAATTTGTTGCATGTAGCTTGGCATTCAGCATGAGATTTGTCAGCTATATCGAAGTAAATGCGTACCTCTCTCAGTGTTAGTATTGGGTCGGTCTAGGTTTATTTTCAGTACCACCAGATTGCTCTTCAATACTTTTGACTCATCAGACAAGGAATTCAAAGTCTGATACCAGAGTGGGCTTTAAGGTTTTGGAATTATTAAAAGGCGGGCATTTAAAGAATAGAAACCTGAGCAGGAACTGAAGGAGACTAGATACTGTCTCAGGATCTGAGACTGGAGTGTGCCTTGCTGCTTGGTGACAGTGCGTCAGCCAGCACTGCACACATCAAACACTGATTTTAGCAGGTCTGGTTTCCATCATTTTTGTTAAGTGAGAATGCTTTTCCATTCTGTACCTCACTTCAGAAGAGGAGCAGATATAATTTTTTTAAAATTGAGAATCTCTTTAAATTTACAGATGTGGGAGATCCCAATTCAGATGATCAGAAAGACTCATCTCAGCTCAACTGAAGTGATTTTATTTGTGTCGCTATCATGGGGGTCACAGCCTGGGTGTGAGATTTGCTGCTACCCAAGGTGGAGTTGTGCCTTTCAGGAGAGTAGGTGGGGAAGGGGTTTCGGCAGGATCATGTAGATTTTTTTCACTTAAGACTCATCTCCTAATCTAGGGGCGTGTTCTTTGTTTCTTCTTTTGAATATCTCCACGTGCCTCTCCAGCTTAGTTTTCAGTTAATTAGACATTGTTCTTTTAATCTGGACTCTTTAATCGTAAATCAGTTTTTTGGAGGGTATAATGGTGAAAGTGGCTTAAATATTTTGCTTGTTAAACAGTTGTTCATTAGGTTGCTAAATGAAACCAAACAGTTCTCTATTTGCATAGGAATTGAAAGCATGCTGAAACTCTAGTGCTGGGTTCTCTGAGGCTGCCTCCTGGTTTTGCGTTTGCCTCTCAGGATTCTCAATGTCCCCGGGGCCACCAGTCTGCCATTTGTAATAAATGAGTAGGCTCTGGGATAGCTCACCCTTGGCCAGGCCTTGTGGCATATGGGGATGCAGAAACATTTCCAGTTTTATTCATCTCTGGCACCACAGCCAAGAATTGTGGGCTGTCCTGTGCTTTTATTTTTAGATCTCCCCTTCTTTTTTGGGTAACTCTTTTATTTCATCGACAATGTTTTAATTATTTTTTAGAGATAATATATTGGGCGTGTTGAAAATTGTTCATTTAAAAGTGTCTTTAAGAAGGAGCAGAATCTGTTTAGCTGCAGGATTTTTAGATGAAAGTTGTTTTGGGTGTTTAATAATAAGTGATTTGGGGTGAAAGTTGTAATAAATTGGTAAAAAAAATTTAAAGGGGTGATTTGAAATACTGTTTATTTTACAGAATTTTATGGAGTGCTAGACTGAGGCTATGGCAGTCCTGGCTTTTGATTGTAGTCGATTGTGCATTTTTTTTCACACCCTTAGGAAACTCACATGTATCTAGGCCTTGGTTTCACAGGACTGTGTGGGGAGTAATAGCTTTTGTTATCTCTCAAGGACAGTGTTAAAAAAAAAAACCCTGGAAAGTACTAGAAGGCACATAGCTATTTGCAAGG